AAAAGCGGAACGAGAGGGAGAGTGAGGGAAGGAAGAAAATGAGGAGGAGGAGAGGGAGGGAAAGGAAAGCAAGAGAAGAAGGGGGACAAGATAGAAAGAAGGAGAAGGAAAAATGGGGATAGTGAGATAGATAGATAGATAGATAGATAGATAGATAGATAGATAGAGAGAGAGAGAGAGAGAGAGAGAGAGAGAGAGAAAGAGAGAGAGAGCAAGAAGGAAAGAAGGAATAACGGTAAAAGAAGAGAAGTGAGAGAAGTGAAAATGCGCAGAGGGAGAATTTGTAGTCAAAACGTGATGTCAACTTAATTTGCATAATCTTTCTTTTTCAACATAAACGTGCAAAATGTAACCTCCTGAAGAGCGAGTGAATGAAGGAGAATATTTTAAGAAATTTAGACGAAAAGGGAAATAAAAGCGTGAGAGAAAAAGAAGGAAAGAAACATAAATAAAAAGGAGAAAAGGAAAGGATAAGAGAATGTTCGAAAATCGGATGAAAAGTAGAAAACAGAAAGAGAAAGAAGAAATGAAAGAAAAGGGTGAATATATAGAAAAAAGAAGGAAAAAGAAGGATGAAGAAAATAAATTGTAGAAATAGGTTAATACAAGGGTAAGTTCAATGAAAAAAATATATAGAGTAAAATAAATAAACAAAAACATGAAATGTAAATGCGACAAATAGAAGAAAAAGACAAAACACCCACTGACAGCGTCAATCAAAGAGTGCCAACCGGAGTGCGGCACAGGGGGCAAAACTCTGGGTACTCCGCATCTGGACCCAACACTACAGCCTGGGATCTACCTTTGTTTGGAGGTGGGGTGGGGGTGGGGTGGGGGGTATCTGATCGAGCTTCAACTTTCAAGGCATGGAACATCTATTCTTTGTGTTAACGTGCCTCAGTGCCATTACTTCAAGGAAACTGAAACGACTGAAGGTGCCCACTCTCTCAAGGGTGACACGGTAAGTGGAGGTGTTCAACTACAACACGATAGGTCGTAGTCTTCTGTACTAGATGTAGCTCCAGTTAATGGGCGTACAATGAGACTAGAACAATCAATAGGCTTTATGTCTTTTAATGCTATGTATGTTTCTTCCAGCATGGATAAATTTGATGTGAAGATAGCTGTTTTATGCCAAACTTCCATGGCTAAAAGCTGTCGTAAGTGAGATTTCCACGTTGTACTAGGTGACTTCAATGCGTTATCCGGCAGTGATCAATTCGCAACGGGATGTCTATCAGTCTCCTTCTTCGGGATTAGGCAAGGTCATTATACTGCACACACATATATATACATTTTATCTATTTTCCTATTTATCTATTTGTTAATCTACCTTCCTACCTACCTACCCATTGACCTAGATCCCACATCTGACCCCATTTACGCGGTGAGTGTCAGCCCAGTAACACCCCCCCCCTCCCCCCCCCCGGGTTCCTCCCCCGCCTCGCCCCAACGCATTTCGTAGGCTGTCGCCCCCCGACCGGCCTTCCGTGGCAGAGCCGCCTTCGTGGTGATCGGGCTGACGTTTCCATTCACGCAGCAGACTGGCTCGTGCACTCGATTTTTGTATCTTTCTCTCTTTTAATGATAGAGTTGGTAATAATAATAATGATGATGATGATTACTGTTATCATTATTGTTTTTATCATTATCTTTATCATGATCAATGTTACCATTATTATTGTTATCATTATTGTTATTGTTATAATTTTCATTATTATTGTTATAATTATTATTGTTGTTGTTGTTATCATCTTTATTATCATTACTATTACCATTCTCATTCTCATTATCATTTTATATTATTATCATTATCATTATCATTATTATTATTATTATTATTATCATCATTATTGTTACTATTATCATTATTATTATCATTATCATCATTATTATTACTACCATCATTATCATTATCATAATTATTTTATTATCATTGGTATCATTATTCTTATTTATTATCATCATCATTTTCCTTATTGCTTTTATCATTATCTTTATTATCATTGTTATTCTTATAACTACTATTCGTAGTATCATCATTATTATCATCGCTATTATTATTTTCTCATTATAGTAGTGAGATGTTCAGATATAATTACTTAATCGTTATTGCATTTATTATTATTTCGCTATTTTTTTCTTAATAGGATTAATGATTTGGTATATGATACACTGGACTCAA